ATCGATTAAATCGATCGATGGGCACACAGCCATTCTTATAAATAGCTTTAAGCCATTGCGATGGGGATCATGATTCGTCTATGGCCGTCCATGTCTAATGTCACCGACTCGCGGTAGCAGACAGCCTGGCAGCGACTCGATTCCTTTCTCGGAACGATCGAGACTGCATTTTGTATGGCAATCGCACAGCGTCGGCGTGCCATGCCTCCTATACTTCGTTCTGCATTTTTGTTGCGTTCAAGAGTAGTAGCACGGAAACAATAGAATTGGTCGACGTTATCGTAATTAATGTATCTGCGATACAAGATATCGAAATTTTTTAGTTTAGCTTCGTGATGTCATAATATTATTAGAATGTCGTCAAGTTTAGTTATATAAAGACATTTAAACATAGTTTAAGACATTTTAAATACGTACATCGGCATTTATCGTTGATAAAAAATATAATTTAATCAAAGTCAAAATTTTTTTTTTTTTTTTTTTTGCACATTTGAATTATGACTTTAATGTATAAAGAAGATTGGTCGCTTTATCAATATAAACGGAACGAAATATCTCCCGGTCGTATCCATATGTCAACGTAACCGCCCTTAGTTCAATGTGGGTGGTCGTTTTATCATTTGTTTTGTTTATTTATTTATTTAGCGCGGAGATCGGCTATCTAAAATATGATCGATTTGCCTCAAGTCTTATTGTATTGTCTTCCAGCGCATTATCTGATGCACGAATATTAATTCAATCGGATATACACGCCGTGGGCACGTTACACTCTCTTGGGAGTACACCAGAAGAAGAAAAAGAACCACGAGAACTCGTCCATCGGAGGCAATGAAACATTGTCGTAATTATCGCCGCAAGGCTAAATCAAAATCTAAGATAAATGATTCTATTAGCGTACGCATATAGCAATATTTGTGAAATTATTCGATTACGAAAATTCACGCAAAACACAATTATTTACAACTATTTCACGCTTGCAAACTCTCTCTTTATCTTTTCTCCTCAAAATTTTGAATTTTATACTGACTTATCACGTCGATCGCGTAAGCTATGCAAATCCGATGATACGGAGAGCGGATCTCCGTAGAAAAATTATTGCGACGTCGCGGGTCCCCGCAAGATTTTTGGGTGGTCTACGCAACCGTGTACGATGGGCGAATCTAATATTTAATAACAGGAGGTGCACCGAATTATGCACTAATACTTCTTAATATTCGACGCACCGCCGTGAGCTACGTTTTTCAGGGCGCCCCGAGAACCGCCTTCTCTCGCTTACACCCTCCCTTCTTGGGTTTTTACACTTCTAGACATTCTTTGCTCGATCTAATTTCTAACCACATTCGTCGTACGTTGACTGGCTGGAAATACCAGCGTTCCGTTCGGTTGGTTTTTCTTTTTTGTCGGCATTTAACCGCCGTCTTGATGCAAGAGGTAAACCCGCTTTACCGCGGCCACAAACATTGTATATACTACCTGATTACCTTGCAACTGTGCTCAGCCAGCATTCGAATAATTAACACGTATTAGCGCGATGAATAATGCGGTAGATAAAGCGCGAATTATGTGAATTTACGAGTTCTTTCGCACTTTTCTCGATATGTATACGCGAGATATGACGTTATCGTATTTGCGTACATAGGCATTTTTTTTTTTTCTAGCACTATTCTATCGCTTTATCATACAAAAATTCCGGATAAATTACTTGGTAGTATCTCTAGAAGATATAGCGTGAATATAATTGCATGGCCAGTCACTTTTTATGTACATACTTGGCTTTGCGACGCTACCGCATCGCTTGATAATATACGACCGCGTGAAAATTCCTACACATATTGATTTATACACGTATTCAATCGCGAGTAGCCTCGTAAAGTTATGTAGAGTGTCGAAAGCGTCGTTAATAAAACGCTAACTCGTAAAATATGTTGATTATTTTTACATTTAAACTTTTCAAAATGCATATTTTAAAATACCGATCTTTTTTCAATCCAAAATATCGCATCATCCGCGTAAACAGCGATTCATATCAAATCTCATGTTTTTATTGCAATAAAAGCAACAACGATAATGTCTGCAATAAACAAGTTTCTTCTTATGTCTCATTGCCAGTCCACGACGTGTAAAAAAAATTGTATCTTTTTAAGAATTATATTTTACTAATGATGTTCAAATATAATAACATAAAAATTCGAAAAGTGATGAAATTAATTAATATTCCGCTGGAAGACAAAAAGATCCGGATGTACATCATTATAATTTATCAAACCATTCGCAGAAGTTATTAAAGTTTTGAAAACGGGGATAACAAGACGTGAAACATGTCGCACCAAATTCAATTATCAGTCGCGTAAGTAGAGCGATTACCCGTCGACGCGACACAGAGAGAAATGGAAAAAAAATTTTCGACGTTATCACACACAGAAGCGATGTATGTGGTCTAGTTTACAATAGTCAAACAGTCGGTTATCAGTTACGAACGTCGTTACAAGCAAAATCCTTGAGCACGAGCTGTCTGAAAATAGATTAAATAACGATGTCGACGACCCCAGATTTTTATCGTGAATTTTCACAACCTCGTTAAATCGCAGACGTGCAGCACGCGGACAGACGAATTCTCGGCGGCAATCAGAAACGCCGGCGACCCTTGATCCCGGGTCGCTCGTAAAATCCAGGCACTCGATTCCGAGAATCATTGACAGCGATCGTGTATGCTCCGTACGTATAACAAGTGTATCCCGGCCCGTTCTAACACCCTGCCAAGGTTATCTTTATCGTGCCGTAAATACGATTCCGTGCACTTTAATGCAGAGTAACGGTCGTTACGAACGATCGCGACTGAGTGATTCTTCGCTTTCGAGAATCGATGCTTTCACGGGTGCATCTGCAACTGTGCGCGCGATTCAATATATATAAATTAAATAAGTAAACAATTTAAAATATAGATATAAGACGGAAAGAGTACTATAAATATTAAGAAATTATAGAAAGCGGAGAATAAATGAATACTGACGCAAGGGAGATTTACAAATTAGAGATTCGATTTTTGCGCGTCCGAACGCAGACGATATCTAAACTCGAGATTCAGAGGAGCCGCGGGCCCATTTTTAAACCGAGGTATTGGCTGACCCTTCACCGATCCTGATTCCTTCGGGATCGTTAACGATAGTACATATCGGGATATATATACTTGATACGTTTAAACATCGGAATATATACCCGATACACTTAAATTTATCGACGGTCTAATCCGCTTTCTGCGAGCGAGGATCAAAGCGTTTGGCAGATATTTTATGGTGAATCTTCGAGTTCCGAGTCTTTTCCTCCCCCATCGAAGCTTCTTATTCTGACGTTTAATAAAAGGCGGATTTAAATAAGCCGCCACCGTTTGACTTTCACGATGTTGCCCTCGACAGATTTTTAAATAATTAAAGTAGAGTAAAAATTTTTTTCATGTATTCCAATTTCTAGATAAAAAAAAAAAATTAACATTGATTACGACAAATATTAACTGCAATCTTAAAACTTACAGAGTAATTATTGATCTCATATAGTATGATACAAATATATAACAGTTATATGGACCACTTCACATGTTAAGTTTTAATGTCATAGTATACATATGTACCAGAAGTTTCTAAACAATTGACCTTCGTCGTTAGAGCCACATGTTGCACAACGTGTGCGAAGGTTGTCAGAAACAAAGGAGCTTCTGTAAAATCCTGTCTGCAAGTTCAATAACTCAAGAGCACGATGCAAGGAACTCTCGTCTCGTTCGCAGAAACTATTTCTCATTAGGGAAACAAATCCTTTTGTACAAGTCGACATCTCAATCAATGATAGAGGAGCGGCCCGATCACGATCGATACACGATAAACACGGTAAACGTTTGCGCAATTTGATTCATCGCCGAGTGCCTGCTTTGCACCAACTACTCATTCAGGAGACCGATTAATTTATCCCCGTTAAAATCTCATTTCGCAATTCGTACTTACTGTCCGCGGAAAAGTTATAAACAGCAATTGCTCGTATAATGCTAGATAAATTGGCATTCAATCTTTTCTTCTTTACAATAGCAAATTTAAATTTTTTCGCGTTTTTAAACTGACATAACACGAGTGTGAGACTTTTTCCTTTTACAAATAAAATGATAGATTTAAGATATATTTAAATTTCAAAAACAAGTAATTTATAAAAATATTTTTCAACATATATGCAGATTTGTGTTCAATACATATGCAAGTCTGGACCCCCGCTTTTATATTAGTTTTTCTTAAATTTTTATCATTGCTACGTCCACAAATATCATCAATATGTATAGGTGATTCGCGTATCTGCCAATAAAACGGAAAACGCACGCGGAATTGAAAGTACGTGACAATCCCCAAGAAAGTCTGCCTAGATTCAGCGCATGCAGTCGCGTGTTTTTATTAAGCGGCTCGACATCAAAGACTCCAGATGTTGCAGACAGCGATTAAGTAGGTCCCCGCTCTCTTTGAGCTCGCGGATCGACTATCGTGAAGGGGAGGGGAAAGCAGAGGTGCATACAACGCGAAGAGAGAGATGCAAATTCGCCTATTAAACTTATCTCGGGGAAAAAATCTACCGAGGGTTCACGGGGACGTGTTGACCACCCACGATCAAAAGGAATCGCCTCGAGGATAAATATATGCGAACATTGCACGTGCGTCGGCTGTAAATAGTGTTACATATTTTTTCATCTTCCATCATTTATCCAGTTTTCTTTCAATTATTACATATGAAAACGAAAATGTAAGAAATCAAAAAATTAAAGCTGCGAAGAGTTAACATACCACGCGTTTGCTTCTCTCTCGGGAATTCTTTAATTAAAAGATTAATTTTGATTGTCTTTTATTTTTTTATTATATTCGTTTATTTCTCACATGTTTATATATATGTTATTATGCAAATAATTATATATAATATTACCAATTATATTATTTAATTTCTTAAAAAAATTTTCCAATATATTACTTGCGCAGGATTACACGGACGATGACAACGGCGACGAGGACGAGACCCTCGCCACGTCGACGACCACCACGACCACGACAACTACGACGACTACGACGACGACTACGCCGAAACCATCGATCAATCAGCACTACGATTACAGGGACCAGAGGGCCTACGATAGCGGCACCGGGACTCAATATAACGGATACCAAGCAAAAAACGACTATCCACCGATGTCTGCGCATAGCATTCACAAGTGGCAGTCGCTAGGCACTCGCGAGGGTGTCAAAGAAACCAGGAGTAATATGCAGCAATACAACAAAAACGGTAAGAACGAGCGCACTTCAATCGTTGAGTGCGAATCAACGACCCTCAACATTTTCCTTTCGCGATAGTATCTTCATTGATGGATAAAATGCGCGGGCGATTGGGATGCGTATTAAAAGAGCAGTTTGTAAGCGATCGCGATCGCGATTCGCATCGTGATCGGTTTATGCAAATACACGCGTAACTTCGTTTTGTATTTTCACCGTTGATCTGACTCAATTAATTTTAACAACCCACCGAAGATGCTCCGAAATAGTTATTAATCGTTATTAAAAACCACGCCGGTGGTCCGTTCTTAGTAGCGATGTTCAATCAACGTAATAATACAGCTATATTTCTCGAATGTCGGGGATATTGCAGTAATTATCCATGTACTTTTCATCGTGCATACATGCGCAAGTGTTTGTTATACAAAAACTCACGGCGCACTTATCCACCTATCTAATGCCTTGCACGAAATAGCCTCGCGGATGTACGCGGATGTTCGTGAAAGACGTAACAGTAATCTCTTTCAATTATGAAACTGAAGTCATGAATAAATCAATCGCCGATCACCAATCGCGAACGAACAATGTATGCATGTCCGCGATTCGACGCGAAAAATCGAACGTGTACCTTGAGATCCGCAACATTTCATTGTAATCGGAACGTAGTATATCGCACGCAATTGACTGTCTAGTTAGTGTAATAGACGTTTTTATAATTATCTGCCACACACGACACGCAATATAAATTTGCCCGTGCTATATTATTCCGATTGCAATATAACTCCTAGCGCACGCCTGTATTTATCGCTCGAGGCATTGCACCTTCTCGATTGATGCAATTGCGCAATCGCCATTCACATCTGTTTTCGAAATAAGAGAAAGAGAGAAGGAGAATTGCTTTTCTCACTGATGTTCGCTTCTAACGAGCAGACGTCGATGTAACAAAATATGTTTTTATACTGTTTGTAAAGAAAGCAAAACATTTATACCCTTACATTCGCGTTACTATATTGACATTTCCGTTTCTCCAGTTTTATTTCTTCATTAATACACATACTCTATAAATCTTATACCCGGAGTCTTTCGAAATCTTTTTTTATCCTCGCAATACTTTTTACCATCAATTACATTCAATATGGAGCGGTCGCTTCTTACTGTGTGATTAATCTTTCATATCGAATCGCGAGGTAACGCTCTCGATTTCGTAATATCGTGAACGGAATTTTACGAAAGACATCCAACAAAATTCGCAGGCTATTAATATGTAAATTAATAACGATGATCGTATGTGTACACGCGCACGTGCGCGCCGCGAGATTGTTGGAGATTTTGATTCATATCTCGGTTGATTAAAATCGATTTATTATCACTCGCTATCTCGCTCAAAAGACTGCAACTTTTTTTTAAACAAATTATCTTCCGTGCATATTTAAAATAATTTGTATTTTTTATTAATTATAAAAAAATCTTTAACTATCTTATGCTTTTAACAAAAAGAGAATTACGATTGTAAACAATATGCGCGATAAGTCAATGCAGAACGCGTAAAACTTTCATGGAAAGCATTCGCGTAGTTGTCATGGATGATATCACATTCCGTTAACTCGCATAATCCTGCATATTTGCAACGTGGTTTATTCATTGGGTATGCTACTACACCCTGACTACAGAACCAGTAGACACCGTTGATCAAATACTTTTACGCTGACTCAGAGAGAAAGAAAAAATATAAAGACGGCATAAGTTTGTGCGTACAAGACTAAATCAACTGAAGAAAAATGAAAATGCATATATAAATAGAGTATTAGTTTTATATTTCCAATAATTTTACAGTTTCCTAATAGTTTAAATAAATAGTTTCGGCCATTTCCAACCGCAAAAAAGAAATTGCATCAAGACAAACTTGAAGTAATTTATCCTAATCAAAATTACATATAAAAACAAAATGCGCTAATATTATCGATAACTCGATTTTGTAAATTCCTTCCTATATCAATAAATAAATATACGTGGGATTAACGAAATTTATATGTATAATGTACATGTCACATGACATTCTCCCGGGCTTATTGAAAAAATTATAAAATAGTGAAAGAAGCGACCGAATCTAATCCTTTTCTCTCATAATATATTCCGGAATACCTTTGAATAGAGGATGCGCATGGTGAGGGCACATACTTCAGAATTTTCGATGCTCGTGCCTCTATTGTGAACGCGCCGATATAATCTCGTGTCAGTCCCGAGAGTAACGCCTACGTCGGGAATTAGCATAGCGAGATCGTCCCTCGAGATTAGGTCGGCGTGAACAATTCCGCGCGTATACTTCCGAAATCTCTTCCAAAATAAATTTAGTCGAGTGCGCGCGCGATGTTGAAAAACATTTTTCAACTCGGTAAAGCCGCACCGTTCAACTTGGATATTTTAATAACTGATATTTATCGATAATTATATCGGTCATACTCGCCATTAAAACAAGCATTTTTTGTAACAAAATTTTAGCCACTAGCACTCGGACATCCGAATTGTGAGTTAACATATTATATTATAATTATATATATATATATATCATATCGTAATAATAATACCTTTCACGCGTAGCCAATTCTACGACGATCAATAAATTAATTCGCAATTCGACGCAACAAACGACACTTTGACGAGGGATAATTCGCTGGTGCGCATAAACCGTTGGAATTCACCGCATCGCAATAATTTTCGATTAAAAACGACATGGCACCTCGACGCCGTATTCATGAAACGCGCAGCCGGCGAACTTGATCCGATTAACATCGTTAATCAACGCACAATCGAGTTGCCTTTTCATCACAAGTGATCGTAAATTTGCAATTTAAAGTTGTCATATTTTCATTTGAAAATACGACACCGTTATCTCGAGCTTCTTCATTCGGAATAATCCCGATCGTAAAAATGGAAAATGTTAAATGACACAAGAAATGTGCTTTCTCTTCACTGATCATATAGCAAGCCGATCTCGTGACTCGCGATCACCACATGATGGATCTCTATTCGCTATTCTTCAAATGGCATATACCGTCTTTAAATTCCTTTCCATACCGTTGACATTTCCCCGCTGTTATTATTTGTACTAGAATTTACCGATTTCCCGCTACAATGCGGTTTCTCTGCGCGCTCAAACGAATTATGCGGAATGACAGCGTCGCCGTAATTATCGATGATACGTGAAACGCGTGTAGAAAGCGATTAGTTATCTCCGCGCTGAATCAATAGAAAGCTCTCGTGCCTTATGTCACTTAAATGTTGAATGCATCTGCGCTCGCGAAGCGAACTACCCGCCGTGATCTTTCGGTTCCGCCTGATGTCTCGATCTTGATCACAGAGCCTCTCGCCTCTCTTTTTTTCTTTTTCTCTCTCTTTCTCCGTATATTACTAGTAACTAAATGAGTCTCTCGAAATGAATAAATTTGATGAACGAGTAACGAAGATTTGTTGCGATAAAACAAACTTCTTTTCTAATCTGACCTATCCGCTCCCGTCTCTTTTCGTTTTATTGCCGTGGACGTTTACTAAGGTGTGACACTAATTAATGAGATATATACGGAAGTATGGTAATACTGGCTTGTTACAACATGCAGAATGTTTCTTTAACGTAATTTTTTAAAGATTTTGTATGTAAAGCAATCATTCAAGCTGAATTAAAAAAATTTGAAGTTTTCTAAATCCTAAGATTTACGAAAGAGTTGCAGGATTAAAAGAATCATAAAGAGAAACGCATTACAAATCACATGTCATCGTCGCAAATAAATGTATCTCAACTTTCTAAAATAAATGCAATTGTGTTACGCACCGAGAACGAGGTTGGATTACGCACTTTTTGCTCTCATTAGACTTGGAAAGTTTAGTCACGTCTGCTACCTTTTCACAATTATTGCATTAATGACCGCGTGAGAGATTAACTTTACCGATCCAATGTTTGCCCTAGGTGCTGAAATGAGAGAGGCCATTCAGCACGCGATGCAAGTCAACAGGGAAGGCAGCTGTCAGTGGCCACGTGCGCGAGTCATTCCGGTACGTGACGTTTATCCGAGTCCGTCAACCACCTACGTCCCACACTGCGCTATATTGCACAGGTGCTCGGACGACACCGGATGTTGCAGATCGGAAGCGCTCACCTGCGTGCCGAAGCACTCTCATCGCGTCGAGCTTTTTTTCTACGTAAGTCCAGCATATATTTTCTCTCTTTTTTTTTTATAACAGCGTTATTCATTTGCTCTCATTAGACTTGGAAAGTTTAGTCACGTCTGCTACCTTTTCACAATTATTGCATTAATGACCGCGTGAGAGATTAACTTTACCGATCCAATGTTTGCCCTAGGTGCTGAAATGAGAGAGGCCATTCAGCACGCGATGCAAGTCAACAGGGAAGGCAGCTGTCAGTGGCCACGTGCGCGAGTCATTCCGGTACGTGACGTTTATCCGAGTCCGTCAACCACCTACGTCCCACACTGCGCTATATTGCACAGGTGCTCGGACGACACCGGATGTTGCAGATCGGAAGCGCTCACCTGCGTGCCGAAGCACTCTCATCGCGTCGAGCTTTTTTTCTACGTAAGTCCAGCATATATTTTCTCTCTTTTTTTTTTTATAACAGCGTTATTCATTGTTTTTTATTTCTACAATTTTTATACAATATATGTATATCCAAATTCAATGATATAAAATCAAAATTATCTCGCAATTTTATCTTTCACAATTTATATAAATAGAAAATCCAGATCAGAATTAATAATGACATAAATATTATCGAAGACTCGATACAAATTTATTCGCATCGACATACGCGACAAATTTTTCACCCACTTTGACCGCACAATTCAGCGTGCCTCATCATAGAAACACGCGAATCCGTAATAAGGATTAACTGCCGCGACGCATAATTTGTCGGGATAACATATTAAGCGAATTAACGGCGCGGCGTAGAGTGCGAACCGGATCGATTGAACGATAAACGCTCTCGTAAACGTCGGCTCGCTGTATGCCGGATAAATCTCGCCGGGAGAAAGAGGCGCTCGCGCGTGATGTCAGACGCAACGAGAGATGGATGCACCGACGTAAAGAGAAAGACTTTATCCGCGCGCGGCGGATGAAAGTATCATTAATCGTGTAAACCGTATTGCGGACGATTTATTAGCAGCATATCACGAGAGAAGCCAACGATATGCGAGCATGATTTACGGACCCTCGTCGCGATATCGTACTGCAAATCGCCGATGAATTCTTTCTCGATTCAAACGTTGTACGAACGATTACTTTATACACGCAGTTGCTGTGTGCATCCTAGTAAAACGATCGAGTTTTTTTTTTTTTAACAGAAATGCAGGCAGTGCGTTATCTCGCGGAATGAAATGCCCGCATATGAAATGTCTCTTATCTATGTAGAAATAATTACGGTAATTGGTCTGATTTCAAGTGGACGTATTAATGTCACAGAAAATAAGTAGCATTATGAAATAGCTCGACGTGTATTGGCTAATTAAATTATTTTGTCTTTATCTGGCTGTTAAATAAGCAATCAGATAGAGTCATGAATTGTATACTGCAAAGTAATAAACAATCCTGCAATTTCACGCTCGATAACCCTTAACAATCTTCACAGTAATATTCGTGTAAATATATAAAAAATCATAATTTATAAAATATATTTAAATCAATTATAGTTAGAAAAACAAATCTCGTTTTAATTGTGAAAAAAAAGTGTAATACTTCCTACGATATTTCTCAACTTTCGCACCATTATCATTAAGATGTAATTAAGATCGCGGCAAGACGGATAAATATGATTGTGGCGTGTGCCGCGTTGCGGTAATTTGACGGATGACACGCGCCGTCGTGGTTGGTGGTCCATCGCGTCTCGCTTTAACAAGGCAACTGTGTACTTACACGCGCTTCGTATATGCCACGCGATGGAAAATTATTCCCGGAAAATTATTAGTCGTTTCGTTATGCGTGACTCGTCGTCGGCATCGATATATGCGATATTAATGCCTGCTCACAATCTGCTATGTTAATAACAACCCCAGGCGGTCGCACGATGAGCAAGATTTATAAAAACGAGAATCGTTATTTTTTTTATTCGAATTTCATTCGGATTGATATACCTATAATTCGGCAGAACGGGATATTTCCGGGGGAAATTTTTTTCACCGCGGTACACGGGGCGATTAAAAAGTACACAAAGAGAGGCCAAGTGCCGACAAAGGGTGCAGTTTCGGCCTTAAACCTTCATTTAACGAACCGGTAGTCGTGATTGTGCAACCGATCCGCGTTTACGGGTTAGGGATTAAGACCACCGCGGCTTCTCTCGCAACCCGATATTTTGCTGCATCGTTTCATCGCGCGATTACGGAGGGCTCCGCGATCAACTTCCATCTTACCGTCATTCTTGGAAAGCTAGCATGACTTAACCCAATTTCAATTACATCGTGATATGCACAAATTAATTGACTTTTAAAGTATAAATACATTTATAATTTATGAAACACAAATGTAATAAATATCAATAATTATCAATTAATTAAAATACTTTTTAATACGCCCAAACATAAACGCTATTGACAGATTTTACTATTTCCAGATGATTATCCCTCACATTGTAAATAAATTATCTGTTTATTTTGCGCAAATTCAATTTTAAATACGATTCATATAGCCGCGAGTTATATTCAAGCGTTATTACGAGGTACGGCGACCACATAAGGCATCTACGTCATAAATATGCAATTAAAAACAAATACGGCGAATCCGTTCCTCCCTCATTATACTTATCGCCAGCCACATCGGATTAATTACTTGCCGAAGCTTTTGTCGCAATTGCCGAGCCGAGTCTTACCACTGGTGTATTATTATCCCGACGTAATGAATACGTAATGTCATAACTGCATGTATAGGGTGTATCATAAGTCACTTCGAAACTGTACAATCGAACGAATCGAGGAGAGAGAGGCAATTAACGATTTAATTTTATAAAAAAACCTAATGTTTTTTAATAAAAATTTACATGCCTGATTGCGCGTAATAAAAACGATAAAATATCAAAGTTTACTCGCATGAAATATCGTATTGCTGATTAATCTGGTTTTTTTTTTACGCAGTATACATATAACAATCGATGTTATACTTAAGTAATTGCTCCATGAACTCCCGCATAAATCGTGTCGAATCGGAATGCGAAGGAAAATCGAAAGTGAATAAGAGACTCTGACTCACGAAGAATATTGACCCTTGATCTTTCTTTCGATTAATTGCGAGCAGACGTTCCTCCAACTTTCTCTGGAAACTAGTGATTTGTTGAATATGTTAATCTGTACACTCTCATTATTTCTGCATTAAGTTGTTGTGCGAGTAATTTATAGTTTATAAATGACTGCAATCGCCCGTATGTTTTTGTCAATATTCATTATGGTGATTTTAAAACGATTATAGAAATCGTTATATATTGCGCGACTTATGAAACTTCATCGCATCAACGTTTCAATGACCCGATATGAAATTCGAATCCTTCGATACTGGATATTTAATGAATCAATTGATCCAGTGATAAATGATGCACCCTATTTATATCGACTGCAGAACCGATAAAAGCACGTCGGAATCGCCGTCAATCATATCTTATCACTGCGAGAAATTTTTGATAATTGAAAAAGGGACGTCTATCTGGAAAAAAAAAATAGCGATCATTATTTTAACGACGAATAGTCTCGTCTTTTAGTTATCTCTCATACTCATCAAACAACAATGGTCACATATAACGTTCTGCGAGAACGACGACGAGGGTTGTGGTCAATTGCCATCGATCATCGCTCCGAGAGCGTTTAACGCTCGCCACAGCCCATACTAATTTCCTCCTCGTAAAAATTAAGCTGTGAAACGATCGTGCGAAATTACATGGGTGCACATTGGGCCGTTAAAGCATAAGTCATCAAATTGCAGAAGTGATTCCTAACTAAAAATTACCAAACTGCAAAAGATGATCTGATTGCAGGAAAAAAGCTTGTCTCGTCAATTTTTAAGTTGTACGATTAAAAGAGAGAATAATAGTAATAAAATATATCGACGTATTTCTTGACTTTACGAAACTTCGTAAAAAACGCTGTATCACGCTAACAAAACAGACGACCCTTGTTCAGCAGAAATAGGTATCGAATGCCCCTCGTTAGAGGTGAGTTCTTAAGGTTCTTAACGATGCTCTCTCGCTCGAGAACAAAAATAGGCGCGATATAAATTCCAATAAGCGCCCGTATAACTGCCAATACCGAGATGTGTAATAATGCCGCGGGTATAATTTGCATTTTACCATGATCACCGTCCGGCTTTGCCACGTAGCATTAGCGTAAGCCGACTATTGTGGGAAACGGTAGTGGGTTAGACGTGAGGAAACGCTTATTAGAGAGCAACATGTGCTTTTTAGAAATATCCAAAGTGAGGATAATCTTTGCGAGTATAATTTAACTGGACATAGTATGCTTTTGAAGACTTGACTAAAAAAAAATCAATTAAATTTTAATCTTATTCAATATATAAATATAATTTTTTTATAATTAATTCGTTCCTTTTTTTTGTATTTTATTCTTTTATCTCATCTCGTGTCTCCCTCGAGAACATTCCACGCTGTTTCAATCAATCGACACTTATAGTGACGAGTCCTATCATGTCATTCGCGACTCTAAAAGCGTATCTGAATGCGGGAGTCTGTACTCAAGGGTCGCAGGTCTCGGAATGACGTGCGTACAAAAAAGTCGCAATGGATATGGAGGAACAAGCCGCGGCAAGTGACAAGATACGACGGGATAAATTTATGTTGCGAAATCGATAAGCGTGAATATATCCGCTCTTACAAGCAGGAACGGATTAAGAATGTCTGAGGCTCTGTCGCGTTTCCTCCTCTCGACGAAAGGCATGAGAAAGAAAAAAGACACCCTGGACATCTCGTCCTTAATCGAGCAAAAAACCGGTGAATTCCGATTCGTATTCTCGAGCAAAGCCGCGTGAACAGAATTGATGGAGTTATAAAATTGCGTTTTCAATTTGCAACTATCCTTGTACAATTAGCGTTCCTTCAAGAGATTCAATTACTAATTGTATCGATATTTATAAATTGAAACAATGGATAAATCATTGAAACCAATTATGTCTGATAAAATATAGTCGCGACGCGTTTATACGACAAGCAGACAATACACGAGTTATCGAACTCGGAATTTTATAAGACGCGAAAACGATAACTATACGACTGAGCAGTCGACGTGTAGCTTTCTTCAGTATTCTTTATCTCGCCGGAGATTGTTCGATATCTCACAACCCACGCCCGATCGACCGGCCAATTGAGAGCACTGATTGTGATAAATGTTGGGGTTGGGGAACCATTAGGGGTCACGCAGTTTGGAATGCGATAAATTCAATGGGATATATCGCCTTTTTTATCCGCGGCACTGAATGCCAAAGTATTGTAGAATGCGTGCAATTCCGTTGCCGGTTACGACATCGAGAATACGTACGACTGCCATAAATTCTCTGGCGCATATATCTTTGTTAATATATTATCGAAAGAA